TGAAAAACACCACTGTCGGCATGCTTCGCAAGACTTGCTGTTTTGAGATGGGCTGGTGGGGATACGCGAAGCGTGAAGAATTATGTTAAGATAAGCTCGACGGCCCCACAAGGGCCTCGAACGTGCGTTCACTGCTTGATGCCGATGTCGGATTTTTTATTGAAACCTCCAGGATCGTATTCGGAAACCAAGACTCACACAGGGCCCGACCGAACGCAAGCACAGCAAGCGAGGTAGCCCTGAACCGAGGATCAAGGCTGGGATGGCACATCATAGACAGCGTTCGATTTTTGCCAACGACAGTTCCACCGCGGAGAACGCCAGCCCACGAGCGGACTCGCCCTCAGCGAAACTGCAGCCCGTAATGGCCGTGCCGTACGGGAAAAAAAAAAAACTAGCTTCTACACCTGTTATAGCCACCTTCTTGGCAACTCCTCCCTTTTTGTAGCCGACAAACAATTTACTCATCCTCTTGAGCTTCCCCCTGGTTACCACAACCTTTCCCTTGCGTACATGCCTATCGCTACGCCTACCTGCGGAGAAGTCGACTCCAAGATCCCTCTCATGACGAACAGTCTCCGCACCTACAGAAGCAGGTTTGGCAACGATCGCGTTACGCAGCTGAGCCTCATGAGCAAGCACCCCTTGCTTGGTCACTATGAACGCGCAAGTCCTGATCTGCAAGCACGCGTTTTCTCCTCCTTCTCCTCCTCCTCCTCCTCCCTCCGCCTCCTCCTCCTCCTCCTCCTCCTCCTCCTCCTCCTCCTCCTCCTCCTCCTCCTCATCCCTCCCTCCCTCCCTCCCTCCCTCCCTCCCTCCCTCCCTCCCTCCCTGCCTCCCTCCCTCCCTCCCTCCCTCCCTCCCTCCCTCCCCCCCTCCCTCCCTCCCTCCCTCCCTCCCTCCCTCCCTCCCTCCCTCCCTCCTCCCCGCGCTGGCCGCGGGTCTGGCGCCCCCGCCAGCTCTCAGGGGGCTGCCCTGAGCAATGGTCCCCGAAGTCCTGCACCTGTACACAATGGCCGGCCTCCCTCTGGAGCCCGGCCTGCGCACGAGCACATACAACCGGGAGAAAGGGGAGAGGAAGGCAGCAGCAGGAGGAGAGGAAGGAGGAGGGGACAGGCGCGCAAAAAGCGTAGCAGCAGGGGCGGCCCGGCAGGAGAAGGGGGAAGTGAGAGGGGGACGGGGGGCGGCGGCGGTCGTCGGGGTGGTCGCTGTGGTCGTGCTGGAGGTGGTCATCGTGGTCGTCGTGGTCGCACTGGTGGTGGTCGCGGTGGTCGTATTGGTGGTGGGCGTGGTGGCTAGTAGTTGTGGTGCTGGGGGTCACTCGTGCTGGTGGTGGTCGTGGTGGTCGTGCCGGCGGTCAGTCTTCTGGTGATTATGGTGCTCGTGGTGGTCGTGCTGGCGGTGGTGATGCTGGTGGTCAGCCTGCTGGTTGTGGTGGTCGTCAGTGGCGACAGCGGGGCGCTCACCGACTGAGGGCGCTCAACACCATCTCTGCGTTCCCGGCCTGGAGGCGCCGGCTGAGTTGTCGCCACACGGTTCCCAGGGCGGCCCCGCGTTCCGCCGAGTCCATATCCTGTCCATGTGTTCGAATAAATGCGGCCTTCTCGTCGGAGGGCCGGCCGCCAGTCTCGAAGACCAGGGGGACCAGGTTCCCGTGCTCGGGGGGGTACCTGGTGCGCTTCTCCCGGACCATGGCCGCGGCGGCCACCCCGTCGTTGTTGGAGCAAGCCTGCCTGCGAAGGGCGTAGGTGCTGTGTTCGCAGGTAATGCTCCAATCAACGTAAACGGGCTGCCCAGTGGCAGGGTCGCGGGTTGCGAATTCGAGGCGCGCGAGCTGGAGCTCGCCGGTCTGCCTGTTCACGCGGTCCCACCCTGGGACGCGTTGCTCCTCCACCGCGTGGTGGCCGGTGAAGCGCGTATGCAGGGGGGCGTGCCAGTCCCGCATGCTGTCATGGCGGGCATTGCGGGAGCCGCCAACCTCGCATTTCTTGGCGTGCCACCCCTTGGGGTCAAGTGTGGCGCCGCAGACCGTGCCGTGGGCGCGCCTATGCTGGCAGGTGGTGCCATCGGGGCAGACACGGCAGCGGAGGCGCATTTTCAGTGCAGCTAAGAAATGCGCGTCCGGGAGCGCCGGGTCCCCCTCCTCGACGGGGAGCGGAAAGCCGCCGGCGCCCGGCCCGCCGGCCCCGCGACGGGCCACTCGCTCCTCCTCGTCCAGTGCCGTCAGCAGGCGGGCCCGAGTGGCCACAGAACGTGCTTCCCCCCAGATCCCCTGTAGCTTTGGGACGGGGTGTTGGAAGGCGCCGAGCCAGTCGAAGTGGTCGTCCTTCACTTCCTGGGCCAGGAGGTCCGCGTCCGCCTGCACGAGCGCCTGGTGCGTCTGAGGGCATCGCGCGCGGAAATCTTCCCAGGTGGCAAACCCAGCCCCTGCGGCGACCTCGTGGAGGACCAGGGCACAGCTGGCGGCGTAGGCGGCAGCCGCAGTGAGGCGGGCGGACGGCAGGGAGCAGCCGCCGTCTTTCAGCCGCATGGTGGCCTGCGCGCGCTGGGACGCGTCCAGGGGCGCGCCGACGACGTGCTCCAGGCTGCTGAAGATCACGTCGTCGAACGGGTCGACCCAGGTCGGGTCGTGGTTGGCCCGAAGGTGGTGGGTAACGGCTCCCTGCGCGTAGGTGCGCAACAGCGTCCAGGCAGCCTTGGCCGATAGGCCCGCGGAGCGGAGTGCGGCCAGCTTGTCGGCGAACGCGTTGGCTTTGGCCACATCTGCGGCCCCGTCGGTGCCAGCGTGTAGGCGGACCCGCTCCTCCTCCTGCTCGAGCCACGGGGCAGCGTTTCCGAGGCATTTCAAGTGGGGCACTCGGTGGTGGGTCAGCTCAGGCGGGAGAACCGCGTCGGCATCCTTGGTCCAAACTTGCGTCTCGCCCTGGTCGACCGAGAGGCCGCTTCGCGTCAGGGCGTCAGCCACGACGGCGACGGCGGCGGAGGCGTGTTCCAGCGGGGCGAACACCATCACGTCGTCCAGGTAGCTGAAGACTTTGCAGGCAGGTGAGAGCAGCTGAAGCGCGTCGTGGATCTCGTCTAAGGCGTCGGCGATTGCCAAAGCGAAAAGCGCGGGGGACAGCAGGCAGCCTTGGTCAACCCCGCGGGTGGCCCGCACGGGCGCGGCCTTGTCCTCGCTGCCCCAGAAGAGGTGCGTAGTGGTGGTGCCAAGCCACGCCCGCGCCGTTGGCAGAAGGTCCGGGGCCCGCCGTGCCACGCCGTCTAAAATCCGTTGCCGCGGGACAGAATTGAAAGCGTTGGTGGCGTCAAACGCGAGGACCACTCCCTGCGGGAACGCCTCGGTGAGGGCCGCCAGCGTCTTCCCTCCCTCCCTCCTCCCTCCCTCCCTCCTCCCTCCTCCTCCCTCCTCCCTCCTCCCTCCTCCCTCCACCCTCCTCCCTCCTCCCTCCTCCCTCCTCCCTCCTCCCTCCTCCTCCCTCCCTCCTCCCTCCTCCTCCTCCCCCCTCCATCCTCCTCCTCCGCCTCCCTCCTGCTCCCTCCCTGCTCCCTCCTCCCTCTCCCTCACTATCTTCCCATCACGCCTCCTCCCTCGTCCTCCCTCCTCCCTCCCTCCCTCCTCCCTCCTCCCTCCATTCCCTCCTTCCCGCCTTCCCGCCTTCCCTCCTTCCCCTCCATTCCCTCCTTCCCTCCCTTCACTCATTCCCTCCTTCCCTCCTTCCCTCCTTCCCTCCCTCCCTCCGCGCTCCTCCTCCTCCCTCCTCCCTCCTCCCTCCTCCCTCCTCCTCCCTCCTCCATCCCCTCCTCCTCCTCCTCCTCCTCCTCCTCCTCCTCCTCCTCCCTCCTCCTCTTCCTCCTCCCCTCCTCCTCTCTCCTCCTCCTCCTCCTCCTCCTCCCCTCCTCCTCCTCCTCCTCCTCCTGCTCATGTTCTCCTCCTCCTCCTCCGCCTCCCCTCCGCCTCCTCCTCCTGCTCCTCCTTCCTCCTCCTCCCCTCCCCCGCCTCCGCCTCCCTCCCTCCTCCCTCCCCTCCCTCCCTCCTGCACGTCCCTCCTCCCCTCCTCCTCCCTCAGCCCTCCTCCCTCCTCCCTCCTCCATCCTCCCTCTTCCTCCTCCCTCCTCCGTCCTCCCTCCTCCAATCCTCTCTCCTCCTTCCTCCATCTTCCCCCTCCTCCTCCCTTCCCCTTCCCTCCTCCCTCAGCCTTCCTCCCTCCTCCCTCCTCCCTCCTTCCCTCCTCCTTCGCACCCCCTTCCCTCCCCTCCTCCCCTCTTCCCTCCTCCCTCCTCCCTCCTCCGTCCTCACCTCCTCCCTCTCCTCCTCCTCCTCCATCCCTCCATCCTCCCTCCTCACGTCCCTCCCCCTCCCTCCTCCCTCCTCCCCTCCTCCCTCCTCAGTCCTCCGCCTCCTCCTCTTCTTCTTTTCGTAATTATTACTATTACTCCTCCTCCTCCTCCTCTCCTCCTCCTCCTCCTCCTCCTCCTCCTCCTCCTCCTCCTCCTCCTCCTCCTCCTCCTCCTCCTCCTCCTCCTCCTCCTCACGTCGTGAAAAAATTACGGCAGGAGGTCTTGGGCAATCGCATCGTCCTCGCAAAGCCCTCGCCGGGTCCCATGACCGCCAAAAAACCGCTAGGGAGCGAAAACAGGTCCTTGAGAAGAGATACGGATCTCTGGGGGTCCACGTTGGGCAAAAATCACGACGTCTGAGTTCTGAGTCGACCGTCTGGCGAGCTGGTGTGGGACTCCAGGCGGCGGCGGACATGGATCCATCTTGGCCCCAGGAGAGCGCGGACGTGTGCATACCAACCGCCTGCCGAGAACCAGGAAGGTCGGTTTCACAGGCGGTGGGAATGAACCCCAGCCTCGGATCGTCGCCGCCGTCGCCGTCGCCGTCGCCGCCGCCGCTGTGGAAGGCCACGCCGCCGCCGCATGTCGCCGCGAAGGGTGCCCGCGTGACGCGCATGGCCGCGGGGTCGCGGCCATGCGGCCATGCGGAGAGCCCCGCCCGCCTCGGCCCGCGGCTTGTCCGAGGCCGCCGGCTCGTCGCTGGTCTGCCGCTTGCCCCAGCCAGGGCCACCCATGGGCACGAGGCTGATGGACGGGTCGTTCCCCTGGTTCTCCGCCTCGACAGCGCAGCAGCATAGCACCAGAAACCATCATCATCATCATCATCATCATCATCATCATCATCATCATCATCATCAGCAGCAGCAGCAGCAGCAACATGATCATCAAGGTCACGATGACCATACCCGTCAACATCACCACCACCACCACCATCATCATCATCATCATCATCATCACCACCATCATCAGCAGCAGCAGCAGCAACAGCAGCAGCAGCAAAGGCTACAGCATAAACATTATCACCAGCATAATCCTCATCATCATCATCATCATCATCAGCAGCAGCAGCAGCATCATCATCCTCCTCCTCCTCGTCCTCCTCATCATCATCAGCAGCATCATCATGAGCAGCAGCAGCATCATCAGCATCAGCAGCAGCAGCATAATCATCACTATCATCATCAGCATCAGCATTACCATCATCACCACCACCACCATCACCATCACCATCAACATCACCATTGCCATCTCCATCACCATCACTATCACTATCACCATCACATCACTGCAAGTGTCAACATCACCATCATCATCATCATCATCATCATCATCATTAGCAGCAGCACCACCATCATCATCATCATCATCATCATCATCATCATCATCATCATCGTCATCGTCATCATCATCATCAGCAGCAGCAGCAGCATCCTCGTCATCATCAGCAGCATCAACAGCATCATCAGCATTAGCATCATCTTATGCAGCAGCATCATCACAATCAGCAGCAGCAGCATCATCATCAAAATCATCATCACCATCATCATCAGCATCATCACCATCACCATTACCATCACCATCCCAGTCACCATCACCATCATCATCAGCATCATCATCAGCAGCATTACCACCAAGATACCACCACCATGTTCATCACCACCACCACCACCATCAGCAGCAGCAGCAGAATCATCCTCATCACCACCAGCATCATCATCATCAGCATCAGCATCAGCATCAGCATCATCATCAGCATCATCATCATCATCATCATCATCACCACCATCATCATCATCATCATCATGGTCGTCATCATCATCATCATCATCATCATCAGCATCATCATCATCATCATCATCAGCAGCAGCAGCAGCAGCATCATCATCATCATCATCATCATCCATCACAGACTGGTCGATCCTCTGGTTCTCCGCCTCGGCACAGGCCCAGATCTTCGGAACTTTCGGAGATCTTCTCGGATTTCTCGGATTGGCGCTGGAGCCCCCTCGCGGCGCCTCTGGCGCTCGGCCCCCTGCGCGCTCCGCGCGCCAGGGCGAGGGGTCCAGCGCCGATCCAGGAAATCAGCGCGGACCTCCGAAAATAAGTCATGTTTACGTCAAGTTGGGCTATCGGAAGAAGTCGAAAAAGGCGTGGACACAAATGTCTTTCCAGAGTGTGTGCCTCTTCAGACCGTCTTGGGAGTCCTCATGGTGCCCCCTTGGGGGATCCTGGAGGCCTCTTGGGCCTTCTTGATGCCATCGAGGGCCATCTTGGAGCGCTCTCGGGCCGTCTCGGGGGACTCTTGGCACCAGCTTGAGGCGGTCCTCGGTCATCCTCAGCCATCTGCGGGGCTGAAAGAGCCCCCCTGGAGTTTTGACGCAGGGTCCGCTGGCCCCCCGGCCCGAAAGCGGGTAACAGGGGGGCAGGGGGGAGTTTCGGAACAACGTGCTGCCCCTGAGCCCAAGGCCCCACACGCCTAAGGTATGTCATCGCTGCGTGCGGGCACACACTGGCGCTATCCAGAGGCGCCGGAGCGGGGATTCCGAGAGTGTGGGGTCCCTCCGGGGCCCCAGACCTGGCCGAAACCGGCGCGTTCCCCCTGAACGCCAACCGCCGCAGCCCCAACTGGACTCCGATCGACGGGCACTCCGGCCCGCGCCGTGTGGTGTGCCCGCCGTGCCCGGCCGCGCCTGCCCCGGCTGCCCCCCCAGCCGCCCCGAGCCGCACGGCCTTAAGGCTCCGCAGCTGAACCGGCTTGGGCGGCTCGAACTTGGAGGGGCCCTGGCCGACCCCGCGCGGCAACGTCCGACCCGCGCGCGGGCTCGCGTCTCAGCCCAGGCCGAGTGCTGTGGACCCCACCGATAACGGCGGCAGCGGCGAGGGAGAGGGGGAGGAGAGGGACTCGGACTCTGACTCTGACTGGTGGCGAGGCCCGCGCGCGGGGACCAAGTCCTGGAAGAGACAAGGACGACGGCAACGACGGACACGACGACGGCGGTGAAACGGCGACAGCCCGTCTTCAGCAAGGGCGGTCGTCGCAAAACCTGGCCATAGCCTGGACTGTGGCAACTTTAACTAGACGCTCAGCCGGCACTCGTGGCAACCTGAACGGTCGCCCAGCGAGGGCCCATGGACGTTCACCAATTGTTTGCCCCAAGGGTGGGGCAAGCATTCGGTGAACGCTGGAAGCGGTGGGGGCCTGTGGAGTGGCAACCACAACAGCCATAAAGCCCACGCAACAGAATCCCTACCGAGCCAGATAATACATCAGCACATGGCATATTCAATGTTCCTAACGCCTGTTCCGAACCAGACAGGCTGCTGCTCAGCATCTTCTGATGGGTGGAACTTTCCTATGATGGACGTGAACGTGCTCGTATTCAATGTCCTTTACCTTCTTACGGATTGCACGCACTAGGTCAGCGTGCACAAGCATGCCAGAACCAGATGCAGACTCAGGAGGAGCAAACGTGTCAACAACCCAATGACAATCAGAATGATTATGGTACCCTGGATCATCTCCAGGGGCACTGTGCACGAGATACACCAGGAAAGCATATATTTCAGCATCTGGGACATCTTGAACAAGATTGGGAGGGATAGACACCACAAGCAAGCTCAACAGGATGTCCCAATCTGCTGACGGGCGCCACAGATATACCACACCTGATGGTACGGGGCGAAGGTCCATGCAAGTCTGAACCATCCCCAAAGGCAGGGGATATAGTACGAGAACTTGCCCCTGCACCCCCAGCTTCGCCCACTCCAGCTCCAAACCAGTGGAGGGAGGAGGGAGGAGCCATTCTGAGTCTGGGACAAAGGCTGCATACCAGGCTGGGTAATGGGGGGGCTCTTTTTACCCTTTGTATGTGCTCTGGGAGTCCGAAATCTCGCCGGACGTGGCAGGACAATCCCAGATCAGATACTAAGTAGCCTCTCGAAGACCACGAGAAACGTGATACACAGAGGACGTACATGTAACGCTCCAGCGATAACTGCTTTCAAAGCCGTGGAATGACTCTGAGTCCAAGCTGAAACCTCTCCTTTCAAGATGGTCCGACTGGGGTTCAAAAACGGAGCTCCCGTCAGATGCTGCATGCGAGGATGCTGCGGCGATAATTAGCGCCATGCCCAAAGTTAGGCGTCACGCGCGAGAAGAGTTTCAAAGTCCCTTGGAGCAACGCTGAAGATTTCAATGCTGGCGCCCGCTGAAATCTTCCACTTAACAGTGGACTCGAGAGACCAGCCGAGACGAAGCGGAGATGACGGCGAAAATAGGACCATACAGATCGTGCGACTGGGATCTCAGGCTGACGTGTCGCCGCGCCCACTCGAGAACCTCGTCGAGCATCGACTCTGGCGATACATGGTTCCAGCGGCACGCGCACCACATGAGGATTACATCAGTGTGTCCAGGTACAGCTGGATGTACAAATCTATCTAATGCCATGTCTGTTGTGATGGAGCGGTGGTGTTTAGGAAGACACTGCTGTGTGATAGTGCTTACATGTTTCATGTATTTGTGTAGCTGATACACGGGTAACGCAAGTGACATACATTGCCGCAGGCTTATCCTGCTTTTGCGTAGCTGTGCTAGTCTCTGGGCTGGCTGCTTAGACAGTTCCAGGCGGTGCTTACGAACAGCGCGAACGGAGGCGAGGAGGAGGAGGGAGAGCAGGGCGAGGAGGAGGGAGGCAAGGAAAGGGAGCGCAGGACGAGAAGGAGGAGAAGGAGGGGGAAGAGGGAGGGGGGGCGACGACAACGACGACGACGACGACGTCGACGACGACGACGACAACGACGACGACGACGACGACGACGACGACGACGACGACAACGACGACGACGACGGCACCGACGGCGGTTGCGGCGGCGGCGACGGCGATGGCGACGGCGACGGCAGGATCAGCCAGCGTCGGAACGCAGAAGGGGATCGTGTCAGAAAGTGCATCGAACCAGGCCGCATCGGCACGGGGTCCGCATCGAATCGGATCGGCCGCGCCAGGATGCATAACAGCGCCATGCGAGCATCGGGCCGTATCGGGTCGTTGGAATATCGGAATCGAACCGAAACGGCCAGGCCTGTATCGATATCGGAAGCAATTGCGGCTGCAAGGGCGTGGGAGGCGGCTGCGGCGGCAGCTGCGGCAGAAGCAGCAGGCCGCGGCGACGGTGGCGCGGCAGCGGCGTCGGAGGACGGCGAATTCCGTGGGCGCACAGCGTCGGCCGCTGAAGGCCTGCCGACGGCGACGGCTGCAAGATCTTTCTTTGATTTCTCGCAAACATCCACATGATACCCCAATCAGAGCTTGCCTCTGTAGGGGCCCTAGCGGATTTATATGGTTAGGTGAGGTTCGTCGCCGATTTTGGTGGCCAGCCCGTGTGCCCGGGTGCCCGGGTGCCCTGGTGCCCGGGGGTGACCGGAGGTGCCCGGGGGGGGCCGGGGGCCTGGGGGCCCGGTAGCCCTATAGCCCTGTAGCCCTATAGCCTTATAGCCTTGTAGCCTTATAGCCCAATATAGCCCTGTAGCCCCATAGCCCTATAGCCCTATAGCTCTATAGCCTTATAGCCCTATAGCCCCAGAGCCTCATAGCCCTATAGCCCTACAGCCCTACAGCCCTACAGCCCAATAGCCCTATAGCCCTATAGCCCTAAAAAGATGAGGATTGGGGCTTGTCTCTGGTATCATTTTTTATTTCTCGCAAACATCCACATGATACGGTGTTGGCCGGGCAGTTCTTGCGCGTGCCGTTCGCACCACGAGCAAAGTACAAGCAGAGCGTGAAGCAGAGACAGCGATGCCAGTGCAGATGGAGTAAAGCGTTGTGCGTGCATCCCCTTTATGGTCCGACCGATCATTCATAGAACCTGGCAGCACAACAGCAACCAAGCAGCCACAGCAGAGTACGTGACAACTCCTAGGGACATACCTCGACCCAGCGGCTCCACGGACGACGGGGGAGGGAGGGAAGGAGGGACACCGACAGCGGACGACGGAGGGGGGAAGGAGAGGGGGAGCTTCCTGCCGACAGCGGCGCGTCCACCGCACCCGTGGACCAAGATCAGCCAGCCACGACTGCAAGAGTCTGCGGCTCCATGGTGGGAGGAAGGGAGGGGGAAGAGGACACCGACGGCGGACGACGGAGAGGAGGAGAGAGGAAACGTCCTGGTAACAGCGGTTGCCTGCAACGCCGTCTGGCGCTCTCAACGGTGGCCGCCGGCCGGGCCAAGATGCGTGTGAATGGCAGCGTGGTTGCCAAAAACACCAGGTGGAGAAGAGTGACAATGGCGTGCTAGCCATACCGCTCACAGATGGTTCGCAAATTTTCCTCCGAACCGCGCATGCCGTTGGCGACGTGCTGCGTCATGACGTCGGGTCGCCGCCAATCGCGGCGTCAGGGCAAGCGGCACCCCGTAGCGTCCAAGGTCGTGTCGCCTGCTAGTGCCCTGCCACCAGATCGACAACTGCCTGGTGCAGCGCTTCTCTCGCCGCACTGGCCGAACCCTCCCGTTAAGACGCTGTGCCACGCTGCAGTCTCAAGCCGGGTGCACTTTCCCGAATCGGGGTAAGGCGGGCTGCACTGCCGGAAAAAACTGCATTAAGGCGGATTGGAATCTTAACCGGATTCGAGCTACTGCTGGATCCGACTGCTCGGCAATCTTGGCGAATTGCGGGCGCTGTAGGCGGATTGGTATCCCACGCCAGCCCGTCATGCAGCCTGGGCCAAAGAAATACCCCCGCAGTGCACAGTATGTGGCAATAATAACGGCAGTTTCAGACATGTCTGGCGTGATTGCCAGGTGCTCAAGCAACGGACAAGAATACAGAGACTGTTGGTTGTGAGGTTCGTTGTGAGCGCCATGCGCCACGAGTCAGGCTGTTGCGGGCAAGCTGAAGATACATAGGTTTAAGTCGGGCGTGTCCCCCCACAGGCGGATTTGGGACGAAAACTCAAAAATATTCAACAAAAAAAAAGTCAAGAATAGTCAAAAAATCGTTCACTGACTATTCTGTGACTGTTTCTGAATATTCCTCCTGCAGTGGGACAGGCCCGACTTAAACATGGGTCAACCTTGGAGTACCTGTCGTGTGCCGCGGCCCGCCTCGCCAGGCTCCGACGTTGGACGGACGTGCCGCCCCCCCCCCCTGCCGCCCGTGCCCCGACCTCCTCCAGCACCGCTGCTCACCTTGCACGGGCACGACTTCGTGCTGGACAGGCGCGCGGGGGGGGGTCAGATGCAGGCAGTGCTTTGTTGGTGCTCGCACACAGTCGACCAATGGCCCCGAAATCCCAACAGACATCACCACGCGGTCCGTCACCGCACGGTCTACCCTGGAGGACCCAGTTGCCCGAGACATCCTCGGAGAGCGGCCCGAGTCCCAAAACCATGCGAGCACCCCGAATCCCCACCGACTCACCACACGGTGCGGTCACCGCACGGCCTGGGGCCCCCGACATGTAACGCGTGGGACGACCTCGACCCTGACAGCCGCGCCGACTGGATCCCTCCCCGCCCGCTGAAGGAGATCGCCAGGGACCCAACATGGGCCCCTCTCCTACCAGACGCCCTATCCCACGGCGTCATCGACCGTCGCCACGACCACGGAGACGCCCCTGACCACGACGCCACTGCCCACGGCGTCCCACCAACTCCCCACGACGCCCCACCCCCCCGCGACTCAGCCGACCGTAGCCACCACATAGGCGTCCCCCAACAACGGCCCCAGCCACTACTATGGTTGCAGACGTGGCTGCAGACGTTCGCCGCCGCCACACAGGCGGCCCATCATGACGACCCCACGATAACCCCAGCCACCACCATAGCTGACGCTGCATGGGCGGCGGGTCCGTTGCACTGGCCCACCCTGCGTATGCGGGTCCTCCTTCAGCGACCCCCCCAACCTCCCCACAGAGTCCCGACACCCCTTCTGCTGCGCACGATGCAGCACCTCCGGGGGACGCCGTCTCCCACCTCGGCACGTGCCTGGACCCTACGAACAGCGACGTGAAGAAGGCGCCGAGAGGCCCGTGCTGCCAGGACCAGGAAGAGCCAGGGGAGGAGGTCTGCCAAGCCGAGGCCAGCCGTCGCTCCAACAAGGGACGCCCACTGCTGTGGACGCTCCCCTCCCAAGACAGGCACCCCCCGCCCTGGGGGGGAGGATTTCCGCGGCTATGGGTGCCCATTTCCTCCCTCTAGTCGGACCCACTCAGGAAGCTCCCTCCCTGCGCCATCCTGCCCTTTTCTCCCTGTCTCCTTCCTCGGGGTAAACTACGGCGAGGGCGTTGGATAAGGAACCATTGGATAAAGAATCCAGGATCTGGAAGACAGCGGAACTCAACTCGTGGATTGGCCATGGATGTCGTCGCCGCCCAAATCAGATAAGGAATGCTCCCGGGTCTGAAGCCTCCTGGGCACATTCCTTAACCAATGCCCCCACCATACCTCAACCCGAGAAAGCTTCTAGCATTTCGCCCTATATGGTCGCAGAGCGCCGCCTGAGAAGGAGGCCGTGACAGCATCCCTGATCGGATCAGTGCCATCAGCGTCAGGACGACGAAAACGAGCGACGACGACGACGACGACGACGACGACGACGACCACGACGACGACCACGACCACGACCACGACCACGACCACGACCGCGACCACGACCACGACCACGACCACAACCAGGACCAAAACCACGACCACGACCATGACCACGAACACGAAGATCACGAAGACCACGACGACCACGACGACCACGACGACCACGACGACCACGACGACCACGACGACCACGACGACGAGGGTTCCCAGGCCGTCCTTCTTGTCCTTCCCGGGCATCGACAAGGCCACCAGGCCCTTCGGGCCGGGCTGCTTGACCGCGGGAGCGGCAGGCGCCTGCGGCGGCGCGCATAAGCGCGGTCGTCGTCGGGAGCGACGGGGGTCGAGCTGCGTCACAATTCGTTCCTGTGCTGTGGGAGGGAAGGTAGAAATGGGCGGGGCCTGCTGGCTCGTTCGACCTGCCTAGCTCGACCCCCTGCTCATACTCCTACTCCCGTCCTGGGCAACAGGTGTGTCTCTAGAGGTTTTCCGAGGTCCCTCCAAAAGCCTGGATCCTCGATCCTCGCGCCTCCTTCTCGATCGTCGATCTTCGAACCTCCGTCCTCGTTTTCGATCCTCTACCCTCGATCCTCGATCCTCGAACCGCGTTCTCGATCCTCGATCCACGAGACCCCATCTCGATCCTCGATTCTCGAGCCCACTTCTCGATCCTCGATCCCCGAGCCTCCTTCTCGATCCTCCTTTCGATCCTCGACTCTGCATCTTCGGCCACCACCCACCGCTGGTCGCCAGCTCGCCCGCGGCGCCACGAGCACACGGGCGACTGGAGGGGTGGTCGGTCCGCGGGGGCGCGCTGCGGCGCCGCCGCCGGCTTGTGCACGGCATTGAGGTTGATGCTGGAGAACTTCGACTTGGTGCTGCCTGGCGTGGCTGACCTGGCGAGGGGGGAAGGCTCCTCCTTCTTCTCGCCATCGTCATCGTCGTCGCCACAGTGATCATCATCACCCTCAGAATCACCGTCATGATTACCAGCATCACCGTCCGTCAGCAGCACCATCACAACCATCACCATCACCATCACCACCACCATCACCATCACCATCACCACCACAACCACCGCCATTATTTTCAACGTCGCCAAAATCATCAACCTCATCATCATCATCATCATCATCATCATCATCATCATCATCATCATCATCATCATCTTCATCATCATCATCATCATCAGCAGCAGCAGCAGCATCATCACCATCATCATCTTCGTCATCACCATCAGCAGAATCACAATATTCAAAATCATCATCATCATCATCATCATCATCATCATCATCATCATCATCATCATCATCATCATCATCATCGTCGTCGCCAGCATCAGCGTAATCAAAATCATAAGCATCCCCATCACCATCACCATAATAATCATAATCGTCATCATCATCATCATCATCATCGTCGTCGTCGCGGTCGTCGTTGTCGTCGTCGCCGTCGTCGTCGTCGTTGTCGTCATCGTCATCGTCGGCGTTGGCGTCGGCGTCGGTGTCGGCGTCGTTGTCGCCGTCGGCGTCGTCGTCGTCGTCGCCGTCGTTGTGGTCGTCGTAGTTGTCGTCGTCGTCATCGCCGTCGTCGTAGCCTTCGTCGTGATCGTGATCGTCGTAAATCCCATCATCATGATCATCACAGTCACCATCACCATCACCATCATCGTCACTATCACCATCACCACCAGCACCATTATAGTCAGAATAAGCATCATCGTCATCATCGTCGCCGTCATTACCATCGTCATCATTACAGTCACCACGATCATCGTCATCATCACCACCATCATCATCACTATCACCACCATCACCATCATCATCGTCACCACCACCATCACCATCACCATCACCATCACCAGCACTATCACCATCATCATCACCAGCACCATCACTAGCACCATCACCATCACCATCACCAGCACTATCACCATCATCATCACCATCACCACCACCAGCACCAGCACCATCACCATCACCAGCACCATCACTAGCATCCCCAGCATCATCATCAGCATCAGCATCAACATCATCATCATCACCACCGACACCACCATCATCATCATCATCATCATCATCATCATCATCATCATCATGATCATCATCATCATCATCATCATCATCATCATCATCATCATCATCATCATCATCATCATCATCATCTGCTGCTCAGCTCGGCGTATACCCCACTAACGGCTGCAGGCGTAATGGTGGACAGAACGCGCGTTGACTCCATCAGGCATCCTGTCTTTTTGGAATGCGCTCAAAAACGAATCTCCAAGCTCAAACGTGTTCGGCATCTCAAGCTGGAGGACCCCGTCCTCCCCTGATGTGATCCTGAACCGCCTGCCCCCCACCCGTGATTTTCAACGTACGCGCGCGCTTTCTCCGAAGCTGTTCGCACCATTGGCCGCGCAAGCAGTTCTTCCCATATCCCGGATTATTTCTGTCGGCGGCCACGACAATCGCGATTCTTGCGTGCATTTACCACGAACGTGGCTCATTGCTCTTGCCGAAGGACAGGACCCCTGGCCAACAAAAACTCCCGCTCTTCAGCAGAGCGTCGCGCTACCACATAAAACACTGCGGCCGCACGCCGCGGTCATAGCTCCACCTCAGACGGGCCGAACTGATCCACACTCGCGTCCAAAGAGTTTGGGGGCTTGGCACAGGACACTCATTGGCCCAGCAGACAGCCATGATCGCAACCTCCATGCCAGAAACCGGTGGGGCCACACGCGAATTACTTCGTCGTGTTCGGAACTTGGCGACCCTCGCACGCACCCCTATGTTCTCTCTGGCCGACCTCAAGGCGTACAGCGCGTCTCTCTTTTTCTCTCTCTCTCTCTCTCTCTGTCCCTCTCTCTTTCTCTCTTTCTCTCTTTCTCTCTTTCTCTCTCTGTCTCTCTCTCTTGCTCTGTCTCCCTCTTTCTCTCTCTCTCCCTCGCTCTCTCCGTGTCTGGGGGGGCGGGGGGGGAGGGCAGTCCACGGGGGGCGGGGCAGAAGCAGTTCACGGCACCCCGGAGGCAACCGGGCCGGGGCAAGGCAGCTGGCCGCAGCCATGCGGCGCCAAACCACACCAGCGGGCACGGGGCAGCAAAGCCAGATTTTAGGAGGTAGCAGAGGCGCCCGCCGCGGCACGGACGGCCTGGCAGGGGGAGGGGGGGGGAGGGGGGAGGGGCGGGCTGGGAGGGGGGGCGGTGGGCATGCGGCAGTCGCGGTGGTGGTGGACGTCGTCGCTGTGGTCGTGGTGGTGGTTGCGCCCACTGGTGGCGGTCGTGGCGGAGGGCGTGACTGTCGTCGCGGTCGCGGTGGTCGTGGTGCTGGTCGCGGCGGTCGTGGCAGTGTTTGCGGTGGTGGTCGTGCGAGTGCACATCGGGTGGGCAGTTGTAGCGGTCGTCTCGGGCACCGCGGCCGCACTGGTCGTAGCGGGGCCGTCCGTCATGGTAATCGTGTTTGCGGCCGTGCCAGTGGTCGTCCGGCTGGTGGTCTTGGTCGTGCTGGAACTGGGTGGTCGCGGCGATGGGAGTGGTGGACGTGCTGCTGGTGGTGGTGCTGGTGGTGATTGTGCTGGTGGTGCTCGTGCTTGGCTGGTCACACTGCGCCAGGCAGCATCTCGGCGCTGGTCGCACGTGGCCACGTCGGGGGCGGCCTCCTCCAACACGCTCGCGTCGGGAGCTGGCGGTCCCCAGCGGAGTGCTTCCACGACTGACTCAAGTCAAGCAGATAGTTGCGTTGGCAGTCCCTGCCGTCTCCGCACCCGCACTTCCTGGCGTGCCAGCCCTTGGCGTCCAGCAGCCCCCCGCTAAGCAAGCCGTCCTGTCTGCGGCGCTGGCAGCGCGCGCCCGTGGCGCAGACATTACTGCTGAGGCGCCTGCGCCTGTTCGCCAAGATGCGGTCGTCTGTGATGCGCGGGAGGAGCCAATGGGCCTCCGTCGTCCTCGCCCAGCCTCCCGATGAGCCGCGCCCTCTTGGCCGCGGAAGTACTGCGATAATGGCGAGCAAGGGTAGCAGGTAGCAGTCTCTGGCGCTCCTCAGAAAAATTCGGGATGCGAGTTTAGATCCCGCGGTCGTCGGTTACAACGTCGGTATCAGCGCGTGCGACATGGGCAAACAATGGCAGCAGGTGTTCTAGCGCTGCTCCGAGAGAGGTGGGATGCGAAGCTGAAGCCCGACGCTGCTGCAGGCGGCCGCGCGCGCGCGCGAGGAGGCGCCCCCTCAGGCTTAATTTGAAAGAGTTGTTGTGGAACTCACGTCAGCCTGACCACCGGCGCGCGAGGCAATGGCCCCGCCGACCTGCTGTTCCGTGTCCAGCGAGAACCGGGAAATCTGGCGAATCTGGCGACGAATCCAACACCGGCGCCATCGCGCGGGACATCCTTTAAAAAATCTGGAGCCTCCCCAACAAGGCCCTCAGTTCAGCATGCGAGATCCTGGAAATCCAACGGATCAGGCAAATCCGGCAAATCCGGCAACGAATTCCAACCAAAAACGCCCCAGAGTCTCCCCAGGGAGGCCCCCAGAGGCGCCCCCTGTTGCGCTTCTGGCAGGATCCGGCAAATCCAGCAAAGCCGGCGCCCTCGAGTGGGACATCCTCAGAGAGACTAGCCCCCGGAGCCTCCCCAAAAGGGCTCTCGGAAGCCCCCCCCGCTCGGATTCTGGCGAGATCCAGGACATCTGGCGAATCCGGCAAATGCAGCAACGCATTCCAAAAAAGCGCCCTCGCGTGGGACATCCTCAGAAAAACCGACCCGCCCTCCAGAGGCCCCCGGTTCCGTTTCCGGCGAGAGGCGAGAAATCCGGCGCCTCCAGCAAATCTGGCGACGAATTCCAAGCTGGCGGCCTTGCCTGGGACAGTCCCAGGAGGAAGAAGGAACAAACAAAAAAAAAAAAAAAAAAAAAAAAAACTGCCCCCAGAGCCCCCAAGGAGGCCCTCAGAGGCCATATGTCCGTTTTCTGGCAGGATCTTGGAAATCCCGGGGGGGGGGAGGGAGACGAGGAGAGACAGGAGGAGAGGGAGGAGGACGACGAGGTGGAGGAGGACGAGGGGCGTTGGAGGAGGCTGAAAATGAGGACGAGGACGAGGACGAGGACGAGGATGGGAATGAGGATGGGGAGGAGGAGTAGGAGGAGGAGGAGGAGGAGGAGGAGGAGGAGGAGGAGG